ACCCTGGCAAAATTCGAGAATTCCTACAAATTGAAAATATTTGGTGCGTCCCGTGCGCTCGTATGACCTTATGCAGTTGCGAGCGCTGTAAAACACTTACCAAAAGAACAAAAAAAATGTGAGCTACGGTAAAGAGCTACACCTCAGACTCCGTGGGTTTAACGTCATTTTCAACACCAATACCTCCGAAAGTAGAGTGCATCTCCGATACGACGGAGCTAAATCGACAGAGAACCTTGAAATCTCCCCGAAACAACCCAGAGTCAAAGAATGTCCCTCATCAAGTTTGAACTAGAGACATCTACACTTAGTCTAGCAACTGACTTAACGGAGCCACATCCGGGGGAAAAACTTTAAAAAATACAAATGCGGACGATATTAATAATATATTTAGATTTCGTGTTTTTTAAAAATTGGAACAATCACCAGCCCCTTGTCCCGTCCCCCACCCTAACTAAAACAGTTACCATTATCATATATGAACATAATGGAAATCATAGATGATGAATGTTGAAGTTTAATAATATTAGTTAAAGTCACAAACCTCCAACCATTCCCTCAATTGTCTACAAAGGTGTTTCAATAATTATTTTTAAGAGCAGTAAAGGTGAGTTAAGTTCAGCCTTTCCGCTTATTTCTTTCTAACGGCGTAAAGAGCGCCTTAATAACACCGGTTTGAAATTAAATTTGCTCTCTAGAAACGAGACGGTGGCCAAACAAATAGGCCCAGCAACAACATTGCGATCCTTCGAGCGCAAACAAAACCCAAAGGCGCCTTCCTCCACCAATCGCTGGCGTGATTTTCTATCGTCCAGTTACCAAAGATCGAGCAGTAGAGAATCTACCAAAACGAGAATCTTTGCCGTTGCCAAAGATTTCCCCATTACGAGAATCTTTGCCGTTACCAAAGATTTCCCCATTACGAGACTCTTTGCCGTTACCAAAGATTTCCCCATTACGAGAATCTTTGCCGTTACCAAAGATTTCCTCATTACGAGAATCTTTGCCGTTACCAAAGATTTCCCCACTACGAGAATCTTTGCCGTTACTGCTTCGGGTGGATATTTTTATCGCCAGCCGAGCCAGTGTCTCAATCCCAACTGTTTCACGGTGTGAACTTTACACAGAAGGCGTTCACCTCTCTCGTGTCTATGTAAGTATGGAAAAGAACCAGTCATTCTCCTTTCTAATGACGTCAAACATTCAACGAGTCAGACCACCCTTCAAAGCCAAACTGACGGCGTGACGCGGCGAGGTTTTGCATAACGGCTCAGGAGCCTTTTCATTAGTATTTGCATTTCTCGAATCTTGTCTCAAGTTTCGCCTCAAGACAAGGGGTGACTGCATTATTCATGAAAAGTGGGAAAATAAGCCATTAAATAGGCAATAAAAACAAACAAACCCATACGTAGCTGCACTGTAAATGCAGGATTTTCAAAGGGATGGATGAAACCGTTTGTTTACAAACCACAAGTACACGTGTTCTGGGAAGATCCGCCCAATAGTTTTTGTCGTC